TCCATCCATCCATCCGTCCATCCATCCATCCATCCAAAGGAATACTTTAAGATGATGACATGACACAATGAGAAACAAGTATTTATCAAATAATGAATTGTAGTGTATTTTTTATTGTCACATTAGTGATAAAAGTGAAATGTTGGAAATGCAATTCACAATATAAATGATAAGGTATAGTTTGAATGTTCATACCAATTTTAGATTAAATAGTTACATAACAAAACATTTCTTGTAATTGGTAAACATTTTATTTTCATTTTATATAATTTAAACTTACATGAATTTTCTAAATTATTTCCATTACTTATATTTTATTGTTTCAGTATATATTTTTAATTAATTTTTTTCCTTTTTTTACATAGCCCATATTTTAGTGACCCTTCTTTATATCCATATAAAAAAATTAAAAAATAAATAAATAAACTTTGCAGTAGATGTATGAGGTAGTATTGTGAACAATGATGAACCTTAAACTTTCCATAACGAAAAATTGTCAATATACACAAATTAACCGCTAAAGAAATATGTTTCATCTAACTTGGTCAATGATTTCTAAAAAATTTATAATTGATTTGTAAATTTAAAATCTTATGGTTTTGTTTTGTTCTTCCAACATCAGTGATGAGATGATAAACTGAAAAACAAGTTTGAGTACATAAAAAGGATGAGAATGTCTCCGAAATGTATAAATGTGAATTGTCTAAAAGAACAACAAAAACTGGTGAGATGGTTTTATATAAAGTGAAATACTGGTTCTTATTAGTTTAATATCTAATACGTAAATGTTTTTAAAAAAATATCTAATACCTAGAGGATCAGAACACTTAAATTGCTTTAAAAAAATTGAAAAAAGTTTATCTCCAACCCACGGTACACAACACTAGTAAACATTAAAGAGAAACTTAAAAACTAAAGCCTTAAATAGGTAAGTACTACTCTCATTTACGTACACGAAGAGTCGAACACAAATTTCAAAAGATGAAAGTAATGAGTAGTAAATACTACTCCCATTCACATACATGAATAGGGGCGCGTTGACACGGTCCCATTTCTTTCTCCCTTTCTTTCCGTTGGTCAATAACCAACAAAAGTTATCATTTATTTCTTCACTACTCGTACAGGGTGGCCTCTCCTTCAGTATGGGGGAATCCTTTATTCTCAATCAGATGTCTCAACCAGATAAATTCACTTATTTCACACAATTCTTTTGGTCATGCCTTTTCCTCTTTACTTTCTATATAGCCATATATAACGATGGAGATGGACTGCTTGGGATCAGCAGAATTCTAAAATTACGTAACCAAATGTTTTCACACCATAGGAACAACATCGGAAGCAAGGACCCCAACTTCCAAATGAAGATCCTTATATGGAATGTTAGAAAGATCGGTAAAGTCGAGAAGAGTCGAAAACGAATTTCAAAAGATTGAAGAAAGTAATGAGTAGAGATTTAATCCCGATTTTACACTCACAATATCATTTTCTTATAAGTTGTATACATTTGATTTCAATGGTTTTTCCCTTTTTTAGGTTTATAACTTCATATGAATTTTTTTTTGTTATATGGTATTATTCAAAACATTAACACACACAAGTGTTTGTGTATATGACGTCTTAACACACGTTTTGTAAAACGTTGTGTAACTCGTAATTTGTCACGTCACACGGAATGTTAACAATAAATATGAGTATTTTAGAAAGGATATAAAAAATAAACATGTTTTTTAAAGGCGTCAAAATATAACATAGTTTTTTTTTATACATGAAAGACTAGATTAAGCATAGAAAATCAAATTCCCATCTTGAAATGGCATAGAGGAAGAAATCATAAAGCTTTATAAATGACAAAAGGGCAATCTATAAGTTGTAAGTAAAGCCACATTGTTTCAATTTTTATTTTCAAATAAATAATCTCATATATTTCTTACAACAAGTTTTCTTTTGATAAAAAAATTTGAAAACATAAGAAAATGTTGCACATGCAAAAAGATTTCTTTTGAGAAAAAATCAAAACAAAAGAAAATGGTGCACGTGTAAAAAGTTGTGTTTTGATAAAAGAAAGGAATGAAAAATTGATAATATTTTAAAAGCATATAAATGAAATTCAAATAATGGTGAAAGCATCTGAATTATACTCTTACAACAATTATCTCATATATATATATATATATATATATATATATATCATAAAGATGGCTTTTGTTTTTATGCCAAGTGTGATTCTCACTCACTCACTCTATTCAACATTCAACTTGCTGCCTCCATCAAATCACATTTTAGTTCCAATTCCAATTCCAATTCCAATTCTTTGCTTAATGCTTTGTGGGTCCTCAACACTTGCAAACATCATCAATCACAAACCTTCAGATAAACCCTCAAATCATGATTGTTGTTATAACTTTAGTTAATTCTCTGTGTTCCTTGATTCACCCTCTTCTCCAACATCCATGGCTACACCATGTAAGCTTTTTCTTGCTTGCTTTCTTTCTTTCTTTGAACATCTCTGTCTTTTTATAGACAAAGCTATTGAATCATTGTTTCTTATTATTTAGTGGGGTTTTCATGTTTGGTCTTACTAAGAGCACAATTCCTTTTCTTTTTCTTTTTAATTTGGAAAACTCGTTGCTGATGAACAATGATTGACCCTTGACTATCTTCTTGTGTTCCATTTAATAATCTGTCCTCCATTCTTAAACACTCCCAAATGGCTTTTCTTTCTTTATTACCATTCTTTTAATAAGAAAAGGTGTACTTCCAAGATTAGGGAGGAATAATCTTCTCAGCAAGCCTAGTCTGGTTGGTGAAGCCTTTCTTGATTTATCAAGGGTTTTGTGACCAGCAAATTACCTCTTCCTGACCACACACATACAAAGACTCACAAAGCCTTAATGGGTTGTTTCCTTTGACACATATATGAGATGTCAAAGAGGGTTCTTGGTTGTATGCACTTTTACTTGTTAAAGTCGACTTCTTTCTTTTTGGTGGGTTTAACTAATTGGTGTTTTAAGCATTTGAGTTGAATTTTGGAAAACTAAAATGAATCTTGATTGATTCATGATGTTACCAAATCCTCATTTGATTGATGATAATCTTAGTTTGTCAATGATGATTTTGTCCTTGCGGCTTTTTATCAAAATCAACATCCTTACACAATATCATGTTCTTGGGTACATAATTTTACCCAAAATGGAAGGTCATTCTTTCTACTCCAACATTATATAAACCAAACCACTGTATCCCACCTTTGGTATGTATACATGCAACATCTCTACCCTAACATTCATAGATTTGCTTGGGTTGGGGAATGAAGTCTTTGTGTACCACCATTCCGTTCGTTTATTTTGGTGACTTGAACCTTTGACCTTCTCGTTGACCCTTTATTTGAAGACAAGAAGTCAAATGTTCTTTACTATTTTGGAGCATGATGATCTTCTTTATACTTATGTCAACTCCTGCATAACTTAAAACATGTCAGAAATGGCTCCTAAATGCGTTAAATTTAGCAACTATTTGACCACTTAAGATTTATTTGTCTCTCTGAAATGTACATTTCTAATCCTAGTTTTGGTTACCTTGGATCTCCGTTCAGTTGTTTTATTTTGATCGCGATTATTTACAGGTTCACCAAGGAAAAACAAGGGTCACTTGGATGGTAAATCAACTCAGTCATATGGACCATGTTACCATTGGCATCTCCACATCAAGCTGCTGGTTCACTGTATTATTCTGCTTTTGTTGTCGAGCCACTGTTATTCTGACAACAAGCCTGATGTTGAAGGTACATTTTTAGCCTCTTTAAAATCCATATGTTTAGAAACTCCATCTTTTGACGTCTATTGGCAAGAAAACCGGTTTGGAATTGCTCCCTGAAATCACTAGATCAAGTTCCCTTAAGGGCCACCGTAGGATTTGTCTATCTGTTAACTTAACTTCAGGGTCCATGGCATTAGTCGAGGTGCATGTAAGCTGGCCCAAACACCCGTGGTTGTAAAAAAACCGTCCGGGTATAACCTGGGATCCTTTGGTCGTATGTTTCAACCTTGGGACCTATTAAGCGGTTTCCATGGTTTACTCATTCAACCAAAAAGCCTTTTTGTTATCATGAGCATGTTACTTGCGTTTTCCATGTTCGATATCAGCAACATTTACAACAGAAAAACATATGTTATTTTAAACAATGTGATGTTTTTTTTCCAGGCGAAGCTTTAATCGAACTTCTAAAAGCTCTAAATGACACCGATGGGATAATCACAGATTGGAATGACTTCTTGGTTAGCCCTTGCTATAGTTGGTCACATGTTATCTGTGATCATAAATCCGGAAATGTCATATCCTTGTAAGTTTATCGTTATTTTTCTTGAAAAAAGGTTATTCCTTTATGAACAAAATGTCATTGGATTTGATTATGAAAATTACCCCCGATAATCCTATAAAGACAAGGTCAATATATTTAGTTGATAAAATTTTATTTAATTCATCTTTTTATTCTCTCTCCTTAATAAAGTTATGATGTGGTTTCACGTAATTGGTGGTATAAAAGGGTGCACATAGAAACTCTTCTCACTGACCGTAGACCCTACCCAATATGTAAGTTACTGGGTTGGGTTGGTTTGGTTTGGTTTGGTCTGGTCTGGTCTGGTCTGGCCATCTTTTAAATATGGTTAGGTAGTTTAGTCATAAAGCTAACCATAGGGGTTTTGATTGCAGGAGCTTGGGTTCGATCGGATTTTCAGGGACGCTCTCACGTTCGATAACCAAACTGAAGTTTTTGACCAACTTGTAAGTTTGGTACCTGATTAAAAATCATATATGTGTAGCACTTTAGCGTTTGGCTACAAAAATGAATTTCTAAATAATACTACACCCATAGAACAAAAGTCCAAATTTGACTTTTAAGGTGTCAAATGAGCTACCGTTCAACTTTAGAAATGTTTCTAACGTCTACAAAAATTGATGATTACATTTTTGTTATCTCCAAACTTATTGGATAGAAACAGCTTGGAGATAAAAGAATTAGAAAATTGTATGCTAAATTTTGAGTATAAACCCCCCAGGTTTAAAGTCAAAATTTGACTTCAAAATCCTCATTTTAGAAAAGCTGTTGGAGATGTTCCAAATATCCAAACTAATAAATTTTTCTAAATTTCTTAAAGATGAGCAAAGGGTTCGTTTATTTGTAGTCACGGAGTATAACCATTCTGACAAAATATTTAGTTGTAACGGTTAATATATATATATATATATATATTTTGTAACAGTGTCTGGACTACTTAAATCTTTATTTGCCTAGTTGAGGTTATCTCTGTATGATTCAGACTTATATACAATGTGACCGATTTATAGTGATATTCATAATTTCACGTTTTATGCAGGGATTTGCATGATAATAATTTATCGGGTGAATTACCCGATTACGTTAGTAGCTTGGTGAATTTGCAAAATCTGAATCTTTCACGAAATAAGTTTAGTGGCTCTATTCCCACCTCTTGGGATCAACTCTCCAACCTCAAATATCTGTAAGATTTAATTTCTTCCAAAATGTTGTTATTCACATCTAATTAAGCTTATATAGCTTTATGAATGTCTCCATTACGTACTTAATAGTCATGATTTGACTTTTGAAAGTCAAACAATTTATTTGAATCTAACATTAGACCATATTGTATTCTATTTGCATTTTGCAGGGATCTATCTTCCAACAACCTAAGAGGAAAAATTCCTGAAAAATTATTCTTGGCTCGGGTATTCAAGTATGCAATCCTGTTTGTTTTACGTTAAGAAATCATACATCTATCTACATTTAAGCCAAAATTACTTTTCTGCATATTAATATTATTACATATAGTTTAGACTTTAGAAGAATAATCAAATTGTTTTATTCAGCTTTACGGGAACATCTCTCGATTGTGGCACCACGCTGCAACAACATTGTGTTTCGAGTCCCTCTATTTCAAGTCCGTTTTCTTCCTTAAACTTACACTGATCATGGTTTTGGAAGCTCATTTTTATCTTCCATTCAAATCGGGTTTTTGACTTGTTCATAGGTTCTCCTAATAAGTCGAAACTAAAGTTGGTTACTATCGGCGCGACCTGTGGGGCCCTCGTGCTTTTGTTGTTTGGTGCCATCTTTTTACACCGATTCAACCTTAAGCGGAAGCTTAACCGTGATTTGTATGTTGACGTAGAAGGTAAGTTGCTCTTGTCATTTTCTTTGGATCCTCGCTTGATAAATTGATGTTCGAACTTAAAAATTTCCGAATTCAAAATTGCATACAACTATTCCTTTTATGTCAAAAGATCAACTATTTTAATGTAACAAAGATTTTTTTTTCCAATCAATACAACAAAGAATGTTTCATATTTACTACATATTTTTAGCCAACAATATGTTGATCTTGTAATATTTAATGACATGGATGTCAAGTTTACTGTCCCTTTCGTTGTAATCTTTTCTTAAACGGGTATGCACATTATAATATATTACAAAATTAGCAGGTTTTCAGCAAAAAAAAACTTTGTTATATCGTTTGTAAAAAATAAATTATTTTGGGACATCACTACCAAACAGGACAACATTTCCGGTGGATATAGCCGCCGGAAATGTTGGCGCCGGTGATTAATTTCCGGCGGATTTTCCTTCCGGTGGATTCCGGCCCCCAGAAAATTCCCACCGGTTTATTTAAAAAATCTTGATTAAATTAATAAAATATTTAAGTTTTTTTTAAAAAAAATTGGGTTAAGTTACTGGCGGATATATATCTGTCAGAAATTCGCCGGTAACTTTATTCGTAGGAAAAAACTAATTTAAAAAAATTGTTTTTAAAAAAATTATATATATTTCTTTAAATATTACCGGCGGATATATCCATCGGAAATCCACAAGCAATGTATTTTAATTTTTAATTAATTATTTTTATTCATGAAATATTCTACTTATTTCCCGCGGATATATCCGCTGGTAATCCGCCAGAAATATATAAAACTATTATGTTTAGAACATTTTTACAATAAATATTTAAAATATGTATTTAAAACTTGTAAATCTGTAGAATATTAAAAAAACTAAAAAGACGAAATGCAACTAAATATCATATATTAAACTAAACAACAATTATCCCAACCAATTTAAAGTAGCACACAATTGTAACAAACAAAAAATAAATTGTTCCAAACAAACAAACGATATTCAATTTGGTGGCGGGGGAAATGTTGAGATTGACTGAACTGTCTAACCAAAGCAGTCATATCTTGAAGTTGTTTATCCTGTCGCTCCTCCTTCTACCGTTGTCGCTCCTCCTCCACCATCCATCGGTGTTTATTTTCTTCCTGTAAATCTCTAAGTTCAGTTCTTAAGGCTTCAATTTCCTATAAAATAAATAAAACGTTATAATATTTAATATGAATTATAAACTAAATCGATAAACATCATCAAAGAAAAAGAGGCACATACCCGACTCTCTGAAGACAATTGACCACATTGTGTGTAGTTCCCAGTCAAGACCCAATTGGGATCCTGATTGTACCCAAACTCAAATAGACGATCTTTCTTGCTTTCCCCAACTACCTACTCCCACACACTCGTTATTTATTAAGGGATAGATTGAGGGATCATCGCCGTATCTTTGGGTGAGACTCGTTAAATAGTCATTCTATATTTGGTTTTGAAAAGATTACAAGTCAATTTTGACAGCATGACGGCTGTAAATGGGACGTCTCCAAACAAAACAATAGTGTTACATACAAAAATTATAGCCAAAACAATCTTAACGTTTGCCCAACAAATGGCAAACCAAACTAAATATTGATACGTACGAAATTTCTAACTTAAACAGTCCTAATGTTTGTCCAACAAATGGCAATCCAAACTAGATTTTAATTTAAACGACTTGAATGTTTGCCCAACCTAGATAGATAGTTACGTATCCAATTATATACATTAAAATAGATAGACATACTTACCATGACTTGGCTACACTTAGAGGTCACGAACCCCTCAAAATCTGTAGATGTGGCATCTCCACTCGACCTCTTCTTATGCATATAATCGAACAATTCCACAACGGTCGGTGGCATGCCGTCTTTTGCTTATGTCTACAAAGGTCAAATAATACGAACATGTTAATTATAATATATTAAAAATCAAGCTACTAAAGTAATGGGTTTAAGGTCCTACAAGACGAGCACCATGCTCTGAAAATAGGATCGATCCACCGGTGTGTAGCGCAACTTGGCTATCATGGTTCGCGCACGCCACATCGGAAACGGCCTTCCAATTGTCATTGTTCCAACAATTGACAATCTGGCTCCACACATATGAAGATATCCAGTTGGGAGGAAAGTTCATCAACACACTCATATCCCGATGTGGGTCAATTTCATCGTATTGAGGATATGCATTCCCCTTTGCTTTTTCCCCAGCTTTTTTCCTCGCGGCACTAAAGTTGTCATTATATGGCTTGGCCGACTTTCTTTCCCACGTCTCTAGGATCTGGGCATCCAAAGCCGAATCCCAAGTGTAGTAGCCTTGCACATAAAAGTTTAGTCAATTCTTAGGTTTAAAAAATAGCAAAAATATAACAAGTTGAAAATATACCACGAACTTGGAACCGCTCTCACATTTGGCATCTAACGTCCATTGGAATTTTTTTTCTCAAGTGATCCATGGACCATCAAGTAGCTGTCGGTTGATCTTGGTGATCCTTCGGATCACTCTAGTGTCATTAAAACTATATAAATAATGAATTGAATTAGTATCAATACACAATTATTTTTATCAATTAAAAGATATAAATGTATTTACTCTTTGCCGCATATGCCAATAATCGTCTGCTGTTGCGGAAGAGGCTCCAGAACAGCGCTACCACAACCAGACTCTATCTCCTCTGGGTGTGCCGAAGCACTACTAGAGACTCTAACCGTACCGCGCCTAGGTGTACTGCCACTACCTCGACCGGTAATACGAGTACGTGACATTGTCGATTTTTCTACAAAACAACATTAAAAAATATACAACAATAATTAAAGTATACAATAAAGATTCCACACAATAACAGATGTCGAACAATGGTTTACTAAGATTTCAAAATGGAAATAATAAAGATTTAAAACATCTAGACAAAGTTTACTAAGACTAAAATTAACATGAGAATTTAATCATCTAAGGAGTGATCAAACAAGTCAAGTTCTTCGCCCTCAGAGTGAAGAATTCAAGAGGGATGAACATAATTGGTTTTTCATTATACTGCATCAAGGATTACAAGGAATAAATAGAAAAAGGAATGGAAAGTAATAACGGACATTCCTTAAAAGAATCCTCTAAAAAAAGGAGAGGATTGAAAGCAGCAAAATAAAAGGAAATATAATAGGAAACAAAATAATATACGAAATCCTATATTCCCCCTCAAGATGGAGCATGCAAATTTGCAATGCCAATCTTGCCAAGAAGAAATTGAA